ACTGGGGATTGAACTCAGGATCTTGTGCTTTTGAGGGAGGCTGCAGATCCACTGAGCTAAATCCCCAGCCCTCAGCAGCCATTCTTAAGACATGGAGGACAGGTTTCACTGGGACAGTCTGGCACCAATCCTCCTCTGCACTCTAGATGGAATGTTGAGCCTGTTCTGCCTCAGTATCCTTTCTGGTCTGATCTTCTGCTGGTCAGGAGGCAATCTTAGCTCTTGAGATTCCCCACTCTCCCCTTTCCAGGATGAGGATGACATCTCATGGGAAAATTGTCTCAATAACTCACCATGAGCATGAGAGAAAAGATTTCCTTTTTCTTATTTATTTCTGATCTTATCCAGTCACTGTACTTTCCTTCATTGGAGGCATGCTCTGCTGAAGATTAGAGAGGAAGAAACCCTGAATTGCCAAGGGAATGTTGAGCCTCTTCTGCCTCAGTATCCTTTCTGGTCTGATCTTCCACTGGTAAGAAGGCAATCTTAGCTTTTAAGATTTCCCACTTTCCCCTTTCCAGGCCGAGGGTGACCACTCATGGGCAAGTTGTCTCAATACCTCACCACGAGCAAGAGAAAATAGCAATAGGTCATGTCTCTTCCAGGCAGGGATAGGAGGCCAAAGATCCACATCACTGCCAGCCACAACCTGGGATGAGGGCTGTGCAGAACAGCAGGCCTGCCCACCATGGAGCCATTAGAGGTGACTGGGGTGTTGGACATGGGTTCTTCCAGGACTAGACTGTTAAGACTGTGGCACCTTCTGAGACATGGAACTCCAAAGCCTTAGATTAAGCAGGCTGAGGCAGGAAGACTGCAAGTGCAAACCCAGCCTGGGAAACTTACCAAGACCCTTTCTCAGCCATAATATTAAGCAAAATAAGATATACAAGCTTCAATATCACATGGTTTCTCTTATATGAGAAACCCAACATATAAACAGCAAATTAAAAGATATAATAGGAAACAGGTAGATGAATCTTTTGCAGATGGGCAAGGGACCAAGAGACAGGGAGGGGGAATGGAGAGAAGGGTAAGGAGATCAAAAAAGGTAACTAAGACATAAAGTTTATTTTATTCATTTTTTGTACTGGGGATCAAACTCAGGTCCTTGTGCTTGCACAGCAGGTGGCAAAACCACTGAGCTAAATCCCCAGCACATGAAGTTTATTTGAAAAAGTAACAGTGAAGAGTGAGGGAGAAACCGGCTCTGCAGAGTGAGCTTGGGGTTAGTACAAGAGAAAAAAGCAAGATAAGAGTACACCCTGGAGGACACATGGCAAGCTATTCTGAGGAAAGCCACCACAGCAATCTCATTTTGGCATCTGTGTCCTTTTATGTTATCCACATCTCAAAGAAACCTGGGAGAACTTCTACATACTGTTTCTAGGAGGCAGTGCTGGGATCCCCCACCACAGGCTGACATCAGATCTAGGCATCCTACTGAAAACCTGCTCGAGTTCTACTGAGAAATCCACATGCAGGGAACTATTCTGTACATGTATTCCAGGAAATGTATTAACAGGTCATGCCTACTTCCCCAGCCAGCTTTTCCACACCCTAATCTCCTGTCACAGTTTGGCTTGAATAACAATTAGATCTGTGTATCTCAGTTTCAGTGTTTAATGTACTTTAGATCTGTGAGATTTGCAACATGCAAATTCTACCTCAGTATAATTCATCTTTGACAAAAATGAGGGTTGAGATAGAATCCCTCCAAGGCTGTACTCAAGTGGAATGGCTTTTTCACCTATCCTTTTTTCTTTTATGGCACTGGATTTGAACCCAGGGCCTTCACACAGAGCCACATCTGTAGCACCTTTTCTAGTTTTTATTTTGAGACAGGGTATTATAGTTCAGGTCTGGATGTTCCCCCAAAGCCTCATGTAATCAGAGGTAGCTGAATCTGGAATGTGTGATGCTGGATTAAGGACATGTAATTACTAAACCACTACACATGAGTGATTGGTTTTGTACCACCCTAATCCCAATAGTCTGGATGGGATAAAAGAGGCAGAAAGACGGTGAAGCTCTCTCATTGCCTTTGCTACCTTGTGCATGTCATGTTCTTTTTCCTCTTTGATGCCTGTTTGCCATCCCTGTCTTGGAGCCAGCTGACTATGGACTGAAACTTCTATGAACTGTGAGCCATATAATCCCTTTTTCCCTAAATTTGGGTGTCAGTTATTTTGTTTCAGTAAGGAGAGAAAAGTAACTAACACAGAAATCCAGTACCAGGAGTGGGATTGTTGCTGTGACATTACCTGGCCATGTGGCTCAGGATCCTTTGGTGCTGGCTTGTGGGAAGGGGAAGACTTAGGAAAGATTTGGAGATGCTAACTGAAACAATAGAGCTGGAACACCTTAGGCTGTGCTGTATGGGAGATTCTGGTCAGAGCTCTGAAGACCAGAAAGCTGGTAAACGGCAGGCTTTTGAGTTTTCTACTGGGAAGACAGACTGCACTGGCTGCTGGACTCAGATAATGTGTGCCTTACCTTGGCAGAAAGTTTGTCTGCATTTTGTTCATGTCCAGAGACTTTACCTAAGAGTGAAGGCAGCAACTAATTAACCTCCCAGAAGAAATTTCAAGGCAGCCTAATGTTGAGACTGTGGCATGGCTGGTGTTGGGGGCTTTTAATCAGATTTATGTTGAGATTCAAGAGCAAAGAGCCAAGCAGAATGATCTAAGACATGTTGAGTTTGGCCAGAAAGGACGCGCCCATAAAGTTGGGGCCTGCAAAGATAGAGCAGAGGAGATCTTGATTGCTGAGAAAGAACAGGAGAAGAGAAAAGATGGCCTGAGGGCATCATAGGAAGTAACAGGACTCCACCCTTTGCAGCCTCAAAATTGCAAAAGTGAAAGACTTTGCCTTGAAAAGTAGGTCCCAGAGCACCATGTTCCAGAATGGTGGCAGCTGCATCATTTTCCAGAATGTCATTCACCTGAAGAATTTGTTCCTTGGGATTGGGTTCAGAGTCCTCAGCAATTCAGGCATTCACTCCTACAGCCAAGAGAGAAGGAAGCCTGACTACTGATCCAGCTGGCAGCAGACCTTGGTATCACCCATGTGGCGTTGATTTTAGGTCCATGCAGAATGTAAGAGTTATAGGGTCAGGAAGGCTTCCACCCAGATTTCAGAAGAAGGCCTGGAGGCCAGGGAATGTGCCCCTGAGAGGGCAATGTGTGAAGCTGTGAGTGTGAAGCCAAAGATGCAGTGGAGAGCCCAGAAGTTTGGAGAAGCCAGGAGCATGAATTTTCTGAGGGAAGCTGCAAGGAGGAAGCAAAATCAGCACAAGAGAGAAGCCATGAGAGCTATGACCACCAGAAGTGACATAGGGGTGGAGCCACCCAGGCCCTTTGGAGTTTACAACTTGCCACAGATTGCCAGAGATGCTAGAAGTGGAACTGTGGGATTTAATGTTTGTTCTACTACATTTTGGACTTGTTTGGTCCCATTCCTTTATATCCCCGTTTGTAACTTTTGGAATGGAAATGTCTATCTCGTGGCATTGAATGTTGGAAGTGTTTCGTTTTCTTTTCATTTGTACAGGAGCTCACAGTTAAGTTTCCCTTAAATCTCAGAGAAGACTTGGTAGCTGGACTTTTCAGCAGTGCTGAAACCATTAGGACTTTGGCAACAATTAGAGATGGACTGAATACCTTTTTGCATAAAGGGATATGCATGAGTCTTTGTGGGGGGGGCCAAGGGTGGAATGCTATGGCTTGTGTTTAGATGTCCCCACAAAGCCTCATGCTTTTCCAGAGGTGGTTGTATCCAGAGTCTGTGATTGATTCCTAGTAGGGCTAGGCCCAAAGGCACTGGGATAAAGGGTGTGAGTAGTCTGAAGGGCCCTAAGCAGTCTGAGTAAGATAAAAGGGGCAGAAGACACTGGTAAGGCTGTCTTGTTGCCTTTGCTACTTTGTGCACATCATGTTGTTTCTCCTCTGTGATAACTGTCTGCCATCCATCCTGCCTTGGAGCCAGATGATTATGGACTGAAACCTCCATGAAATGTGTGCTAAACAAACCTTTTCCCTTTTAAATTTGGATGTTGAGTATTTTGTCTCAGCAAGGAGAGAAAAGTAACTAACACTAACACATTTTTTTTTTCTTCCGTACCGGCCATTGGGTCTCTCTTTTTTTTTTTTTTTGGTACTGGGGATCGAACTCGAGTCCTTGCACTTGCACAGCAGGCGGCGAAACTACTGAGCTAAATCCCTGGCCCAGGTCTCTCTTTTTTAATGTGATCATTCACTTTTAAAATTTTTTGTTGGTGTATGTTTGCAGCACCTAATGATTACACTCATTGGGGGGGGCTGGTACACATATAGGATACATTTTAATATTTCCTGTGGGGTCAAGACAGAGTCAAGTCATCCAAGGTGTAGTTTTGGATCTGAAAGGTCCCACAAGGGCCTTTGGCTAAAGGATTGGTCACCAGCCTGTGGCTCTGTATTGGGAGGTGTTGGAAGCTTTAGGGGGTGGGGCCTTGTAGAAGGATGTAGGGGAATGCCGTTGCTTCCCAGCGGCCCTGAAGTAAGCAGCTCTGCCTCAGCACAGGCCCCAAACAACCTGGCCAAGCAGCCATGGAATGAAACTAATGAAACCTTGGACCAAAATAAACCTTCCCTCCTTGTATGATGAATGCCTCAGGTGTTGTGGCACAGGGATGGAAAAGCTGACTCAGGATCCCTGTTGGTACAAATGCAAACAGGACGACAGAGGGAGCATTTATGCAAGAGAGGGCAGGATCATGGGATCTGTAGGGTGGTTGACCACAGTGGGGAGACAGACTGCAGGCTGACAACGCAAGGAGGTCCTTGGAATCAGGAAGGGGACCCAGCAGGAACTGGGGTTTGTGGACATACGTGAAGACCACCCAGGGAGAGCAGGCAGGGGCTATTTCTGCAGAACTTGCTACAGCAGGGAGTCGCCAGCTCTCCTCTGAGTGGTGGAGACTGAGGCAGGCAGGGGATCCTGGGAGGCTGAGATGCGCCATGGTGCAGGCTGTGGGCAGGGAACCTGCAGGTGAGGCAGCTACAGGCTGGCTGCTCTGGTTGGAGTGGTGGAGCCGGGCAGGGACAGCCCCCGCCTTCCTCCAGGGGAAGCCAAGCCCAGCTCGGGTGTTTGGAGTGCCACCTTGGACTCAGAAACCCCAAAGCTGCCGCCAGTCTGAGCTGGGACTTCCAGTGTAGGGTCAGGGATGTGGAGACAGAGAAAAGAAAAGATTAGAGGCCTCATGAGGTCTTCTTAGCTAATCCTGATGAAAAGGAGTTAAATGAAAACAAACTTTACTAGGAAAAATTTCCATGGGAAATAGGTCAAGGAAGGGGTAGAGAAGGAGAGAAAAACCAGATAAAGAAAGGCACCAAATGGCCTTGAGACTTGCACCAAGAGATCAGAAAAAGGGCTGACAGGTGGGACACAGAGAGAAAGCCAGGTGCACAAAAGGTAAGCTGTCCCCACCTCCAGGAGAATGGAGGGGAAGTCACTGGAATGTTCACTGTAGGGTGGTTAGAGAGCACAGTAGATATGCACAGGCCCGGTCTACTCTAAGCTAACCATGAATAAGGCAGCCTCTTTGCCAATGAGCTGCTCACCCCAAGATAAGGCCTTAAAAGGTAGGTCAAGGACTAAGACAGAAACAAGCTGCACATAGACCAGGGGGAAGCTGATGTTAGGCAGAGGTGCCTGGAAGCCACCCCAGTCAGGGCAAGTTCCAGGTGGGGAAGGGTCCCTGACCCCCCTAGAACAGCAGCCAGGACAAAGGGCCCACGGCTTCTCCATCTGTCTGGAGCCCCCTACCCCGATTCTTTCTTCTCAGGGAAGCTATCTGTCTTCACCTTTCTCCCCCTTCCTTTTCCTCTCTGCCAATGAAGTGTTTTCCTTTCGTTAAACTTCATCCCTCTAGCTTTTTAAAAAATTTTTTATTGGTACATTTTAGGTATACAGTAGATTTACATTTATCATTGGTGCTTGTACCTGTACATGGTGTATCTTGGTTCTTATTTTTTTCCCCATTCCCTGTGCGCCCTTCACCCCCTCCACCCTTCCCTATTTACATAGACTTTCTTTCCATTGTTTTTTCTTTTCTCATAGTTTTCCCTTTCCCTCTTTTCCTTTCTCCTTCCCCTCCCTTCACTCCTTCATCTTTGGACCTTTTTTCCTATTTCAAATTATCAATTATTCATTTTAATCATTTTAACTCTTGTTTACACTATCAGTTTCTCACACTAGAGAAACTATTTGGTATTTACACGTGTGTCCTATTTATTTAACTTAAGAGGATGGCCTCGATATGCATCCATTTAGCTATAAATGACTCTAGTTTTTCATTCTTTATGGCTGAGTAGTACTCCATTTTATAAAAAAACCCCACATTTTCTTTATCCAGTTTCCAGTTGGTGGGCACTTGGGCTGCTTCCCAGCTTTAGCTATTACAAACTGTGCCACTATAAACATGGGTGCACATATATCACTGTGGTAAGATTCTTTTAATTCTTTTGGGAAGATCCCCAGCAGGGGAATATCTGGGTCAAATGGGACCTCTAAGCCTAGTTGTTTGAGGTATCTCCATACTGATTTCCACAGTGGTTGCACCAGTCTGCACTCCTACCAACAATGGAGAAGGGTTCCTTTCTCCCCACACCCCCGCCAGCATTTGTTATTGGTTGATTTCTTGATAGAAGCCCATCCTTCTAGCTTTTTATAGGGGCTGAGTTTACAATCCCAGTGGGCAGCTTGGACAGCAGAGCAGAGATGCTTGTCCCTCAGATGTGATACTGCCTTCTAGTCCAGGAGAAATTCATTCTCTCCATCACAAGCAGACCTGTCCCTGGGGTTCAGCTATGGCAGCACAGGATGGATTCAACACAGAGCAAGTCTGAGTGGCGCCTGTGTGACTGCTAAGGGTGCCCTGGGCTTCCTTCCCTGGGTCCTGAGTTGGAAGAGAGGTGAAGGAGGAAGAGTGTGGTTCTGTATCACCTGCTGGCCACTGGGGCGCATGTTGCTGGGGTTCCTCTTCCTGTTGGGCTGCCTGGGCTGCGGATGCTGTTGATAAAAGACAGAGATGTGCTTTTATATGCAGTCTGGCCATGGTGCCTTTGAATTTTCAGCCTCTCTCCTTCCAACTTGAAGCAAAGTGTCAATGCAAAGGTTGTGTGTACTGGGAGATGTTAAGAAGTTTGAATTTTCCAATCTATTAGTGCTCCTACTCTTGCTTAGGGCCAGTGGCCATGGGGGGAGTGGGAGGGGTTTTGAGGAGATTTGAAATCTTCTTGTGAGGCCACCATCTAAGCTGTCTTCACTCTGAGCTACATCCCCAGCCCTTGCTTATTTTTTAAATTTTCAGACAGAGTCTCGCTAAGTCATGCAATTCCCCATGCTAGGCTTGAATTTGCAGTCCTCCTGTCTCAGCCTCCCACAGTGCGTGCATTACAGGTGTGTGCCACAGCTGGGCTGTCATTGAAAGATTTATGTAGGGCAAGGTTGGCTCCTTCTCAGAGGGTCAGGCTCCTGGGAAACAGGCAGACAGAAGACAGCAGCACCAGTATGATGATTCTTTTTTGTCACTTAGACCCTTTCTGTAATCAAATGCCTGTCCAATCACGGCTATAGAATTGGTATTTGCCTTTTTTCCAGGAGCAGCAATATGAGGTGAGCAAGCGCTTGGTAGCACATGACGCTGTGGCTCAGGTGAGGGTCTCTGCCTTTCTTCTGCAGGCTCAGGATTTGGGTTGAGCTCACATGTCTGTAGGGCCATGCTCTGCCCTCCTTTTACTGCCCTCTGGGTTTATATAGATCGCTGTTCACCGACTAACAAATTTAGGAGCTGGGCCTCCCCATAAGCCTCCTCCACGTGGACAGGAAGTGGAGATGGCCGTGGCCACATGGTGGACAAGGTGTCCCTTAGTGATATCAACACTCTGCCCCAGGGCACCCAGGCTTCAGGGCTGGTTTGAACAGGGCCTGGGCTGAGGACCAAGAGACATTGCTGGGTATGAAAGACACAGCAGCAAACACACACAAATGCCAGCCTGCTGTCCCTAGCCCTGCCACTGCTCATCTGGAGCTTTCCCTCCCCCATCCTGAGCCTCCTGGGGACAGAGGCCCCATCCTCAAGTCTTCAGGAGTTCAGCTCTCACAGTGGACAGGAAGAGCCCGTGACTTCAGGCTGCTTCTGTTTTCTGCTCTGGAAAAATCCTTGAAGTGATGGGAATACAAAAGGCTTGGCCACCTCCTTGGAAAAACCTGGCAAACCTTAGTATTTCAATAAAGTCCCCTGGCCTGGAACTGAAATATGGATTCCTTGTGCTCAGAGCCAGGGCTGCTGCTCGGTGACACACTCAGGGGACCAGTGCACAGGAACAATGTGGAGAAGGCACGGTACTGATGAGGAAAATAGTACTGGGACCACGGTCCCGCAGAGTGGGGTCCATGGCCTACAGTACTCCGACCCCACACTACATGTGTGCTGCCAACTGGAGCCTCTCCTCAGCCACAGGCTGGATATCACGACTCATCCCTGCTGGAAGACCCAGCAGCACTAAGCTGAACTTGTAAGTTAAGGACAGAGGAAACTTCAAAATGCACGAAATTCAAATTAACAGCTTTGCCCTGACAAGCCCAGAGCCACTGTTCTGCTCACATGGACCAGGTTCTGCCTGCATGACCTGGGCCTGGTGACCACAGAGCCTGAGGCCTTAGAGGAAGCCTCAGTGCCCTAACTGTGCCTCTCTGTCTCTCACCTGGACACAGTGGGGCTTGTGCATCCCTCTGCTGTCACCCGAGAATACACATGGACCCACTTCCTGTCCATGTTTCGGCCACACCTGGCATAATGTCCCGTGGCAAGGAAAAGTTTGTTGTCTGTCATCCTGTGGGGTGGCACCAAGGCCCCATTTGGTAAGAAACTAATGCTTCATACAAAGCCTGCTTCCTTCAATTGTGAGGGGTCACCGAAGAGAGCTCACTAAGCACCACAGAGACACAGTGGCCTGGCATGGGTTTGCCATCCTGGGGCCCGGGACACACCTCTCGCCCTCCCACACTCATATTGCTTGGTTGTCTGGGACGAGGGGACCCCTGGGTATTTCTGATCATCCACGAAATGCTTTGCTTCTAGATGACTGTTCATTGAGCTACTCTTCACTGAGTCCCTGCAGCTGACATTCAGGGTCCTGGGGCAGCACTGGAGAACTCTGAGCCCCCAGCCACTCCTGGTGGGGGCCCTGGAAACACTGTAGGGGTGATGCCTTTAACTCAGGGCTGCAAAGACCCTCAGAGGCACTGAGGACACCAGGGTCTGCTGCCTCACCTGCCAGCAAAGGCTGTGTGAGCCGGGATCTACAGGGTTCAGGCTCCTGCCCTAGCACAGACTTTGCCCGTGGCATTGCCCAGGCTGCAGGTGGTGTGGGTACAGGGCAGCTGTCCCTTTCCCAGGAGCTGGGAATTTCCGTGTTGAGAGCCAGCCTGGCTGGGAGAGGGGCTTGGCCCCCACTTATCGCCCAAGGTCCTTGGATAAGAGCGGGGGTGACCCTCAGGCCTCCCTTGCTGGGCATGGTTTAGGGCATACTAGGAGATATAAAAGGCAGACACCATCTTCTCTGCTGTCAACACCATGGTCTCCCTTTGGCTTCTGTCCTGCTTTGCCTTGGTAGCAGCCGCCCATGGTGAGTGCAGGGACCTGGAGCCACCAGGCCTGGAGAATGTGGGGAGGGGGCCTTAAGCCCTCATGACCCCCACAGCCAGGCCCCACAAGACCAACCTGGGGCTCTGTCCCAGACCAGAGGTGAGCCCCTTGGCTTACCCAGCACCTGAGGGGACCCCAGGCTGCAGGGAGCAGAGGGTCCTTCAGGGGCTCTCAGAGCCCACGCTGTATAGCCAGAGTGGAAGAGACTCACTGGCCCAGCTGTGGTTGGCAGCTCCAGAAGCACCTGTGGGCAGGGTAGGAGGTGACCAGAACCCCCAGGAAGCTCCCAGGCAGGGTTCTATTTATTGAGCTGGACACCCACTGAGTTTTTTGTTTATTAAATTAAGAAAGAAAGGCCAGGCGTGGTGTCACGCACATGTAGTCCCAGTGCTCTGAGAGGCTGAGGCAGGAGGATCATAAATTGGAGTTCAGCCTGGGCAATTTAGTGCCTTAGTGAAACTGTGTCTGTTCAAAATTGAAAAATTGAAAAAGGGCTGGTGATATAGCTCAGTGTAAAGGCCCCAGATATAATCCCTAGCATCACACACACACACACACACACACACACACACACACACACACACACACACACTGGAAAGAAATAGTAAAAATACAGAAAGTTAGATGACATCCAGGTATATACTGTTAAGGGTTAGCAGATCTTACCTTCTTGCAAATTTGCTTCATATATTTCTTTTTGTTGTTTTTGCCTTTGCTTTTATTTTCTTTGTTGAGTCAGGACCTGACTATGTTGCCCACTCTGCCCCGGAACGTCTGAGCTCAGTGATCATCTTGGCTCAGCCTCCCCAGTGGACGAGAGAAGAGGTAGAACACTGTGCTCCCAGCTCAGCTATTTCCTTTCCTTTCCTTTTTTGGAAGGCTTTTACATTTCTTATTTTATGTACAAAGAGTTAGCATGGCCTCTTTTATTGAGTGGATGTCCTGGATAATGCATCCAAGGAAGATCCCTTAGTCCGACCTGATGAAGCCAATATCCTTCCCGTTCTTACAGAAACACTGGTGGCACAGGTGGAGGTCCATTTACTCTTCAGACCTTGAGCGTTTGATCAATTTCAGCAGGAGCGAGAGGCCTAGCTGACTCTCCTGGAGCGGCTCCATTAGAGTTGCTGTTGATCATGTTGCCTCCAGAGGTCCAAGGAGGCAAAAGGAGATTCTTCTTTTTTAAATGTAAAAGTGATTCAGCTAAAGCTTTCCTTTGTTCCTTCTTCCTTCTTGTTCTGAGTTCTGTTCTAATCTGGCTCATAGAAATGTAGTACACACACACACACACACACACACACATCTATTCACACACAAAGATTTAAAAATTTGCATAAATAGCATTCTATCCTTTTTTTTTTTTTTCTTCTGGTACTGAAAATTGAACTCAGGATCTTGAGCTTGCTAGGCAGGGGCAGTTCCACTGAGCTACATTCCTGGCCCGCTGCTGTGTTTTTTAATGTGCTTTTTTCTACTCATAATACTTTATTTAGATTTATTCATGTTGCTATCAAGGGCTCATGCCCTTGATTTTTTTTTTTTTTTTTTGGTACCAGGGATCAAACTCGGGACCTTGTGCCTGTGCGGCAGACAGAGAATCCATTGAAACACTACAATGTACTCCCTGCTGTTCTAATACCCAATCTTTCTCTCTTTCTTTTTCTTTCTCTTTCTCTTTTTGGCTAATACAAAATAGATTATTGTGGCTTTTTATGTTTGGCAGTACCAGTCTTCAGTGAAGGCCTTGTTGTGACCTCATTCCTGTGTACAGGCGAGGACTCCAGAGGTGGCAGTCAGTGGCCGGGGCTACATGCTCCCGGGTAAAGGCCAAGTACACGGCCGGTACAGGGCTGAGAACCTGCCGTGTCCAGGGCCCACACAGAATACCCGTCTTCTCCAAGTTCATTCAACACCTCCTTAATCTCGCCTTGTATAGTGTAGAATCAAAGTCCTGTTTTATTAAACAATTAAGAAACCAAACCTTTACATGATCAATAGTTGCAGAAATGGTGAGGTACTACAGAAATGGGGAATTTCGCCTGGGCACTGTGGTGTGAATCGGTGCCTCTCACCCTCCATCAGCCTAGCGTCTGGGCCCTGGAGGCCCCAGGACGTGGTCATAGCTGTGAGTTGCACCTGCCACTCCCACCTGTCTAACAGATGTGCATTGACCTCTGGAGTCAGCGTTGTTCTGCTCCCACCCAGCAGCTGAGAACACTGTGGAGCCCCTGGTCCAAGCCCACACAGCCAGGATGGGGACCTAGAGGTCAGGCCCATGCAGGCTGGTGGCCCAGCTGTCTTCTGCTATGGCAGCACAGGCCCAGGTGGGGACAGCCATGGCCCTCAGCACCTGTGCAGGGTGACTGGGGTCAGCAGGCTGCAGGTGAGGGAGCCTTGAGCCTAGAGATTGGAAGAAGCCAGGGCACCTTGCAGAGCAGGAGGCAACTGTGGAATGGGGATCCTGAGCTGGGTGGGCGGAGGTGGAAACCAGCAGCTCTGCAGCGCTGGCGGGTCGGGCCCAGACTGGCTCCGGGCCACAGCCCTTCCTCTCCCTTCTCTCAGATTGTGGTAACCCTGCCATCCCACCCATGCTGAGTGGCCTGGCCAGGATCATCAATGGCACGGATGCTGTCCCTGGCTCCTGGCCCTGGCAGGTGTCCCTGCAGGTGAGCTGGGGATCTGGGACATGTGGGGCGCCCTGGGCTGTTGACCAGGCTGGGGTGTTGCTCAGGTGGCAGCTGTCACCTCCCCTCCTTTCTTCCCAGGATGAGAACGGCCTCCACTTCTGCGGGGGCTCCCTCATCTGCCCACACTGGGTGGTCACCGACACTCACTGCCAGGTCAGGTGAGCAGGTGTCCCGGGCTCTGCTCCCAGCTCTGGGCTGTGAGTGGAGGCCAGGCCAGCACCCATCCTTTTCCCAACCCCTCCTGTGTCTGTGCCTAGGACGTCTGACAAGGTGGTGCTTGGGGAATACGACCTGGCCTCTGATGAGGAGGACGTGTAGGTCCTGGAGATCGAAGAGGTACTGGCCAGAGGACAGGAGCTTGTCCCCCAGAGATGTGTCACCTAGCTGCTCCAGGGCCTCAATAGAGTTGTGGTTGTCACCCTCAGGTTTTCAACCACTTAGATTTCAACTGGATTACACTCTCCCCTGACATTGCCCTGCTGAGGCTGAAAACACCTGCCCTGTTAACCCCAACCGTGTCCCCCGTGTGCCTGCCCTGTGCCTGTTGTGACTTCCCTCCTGGGACCGAGTGTGTCATCACTGGCTGGGGCATGTCCAGTGTCAACCGTGAGTGTGACTCTGCCTTTCCACAGCAGGAACTCACTCTGGGATAGGGGCTGCCTGGGCAGGTGGAATCCCCACACCTGACCCAAATGGCTTTTTAAAAAATTAAAAATCTATAATATAGTCTGGCATGGTGGCGCATGCCTGAATGTCAGCACTAGGGAGGCTGAGGCAGGAGGATTCCTGGGAGTCTGAGGCCAGCCTGGGCTACATGGTAAGTTCGAGGCCAATGGGAAATACTTAGTGAGTTCATGTCCAAAATACCAAATTTAAAAAAATCTATGAAACACAATTACTGTGTACCAAATAAGAACAGAGAAATGTTTTAAAAATGTACTACACAAATAACATGAGGGCAAATAGAGGTATACTTGACAGAAAACTCCTGAAGTGAGCCCTAGACAGGAGCCCTCAGCTGCTGCCTGCGTCCCCATGTGGCATCTCCAGCAGGGACATCTTTCTGGTGAGCAGACATGGCCTAGGTGAGGAGAGGGCTGTCATCTGGCCCTGTGTCCCTGCAGCCCCTGTGACCCCCAGAAAGCTGCAGCAGGGGATCGTGTACCTTGTGTCCACTGAAGAATGCAAGAATTATTGGGGCAGCTCTATTACTCAGCAGCATATCTGCACCAGGGGCAGTGGCATCTCCTCCTGCATGGTATGGTCTGGGGGAACCAGGAGGGACACAGGGACCCCGCACACAGGCCTGGGCTCTCCACTCTCCCTTCACTTCCTCTACTTAGCAAAGGGCCCCACTGGTGCGAGGAGGTGCCCAGGGCAGTTCCCATGCCAGGCCTGAGCTGTGCTGCCCATGGGGCTCCATCTTCACCCCAGCCTGGGGAGCACAGGGCCCAGTGCATAGGGAGCACACAGAGCAGCGACAGCCAGGCTTAGACAGGGGAGGCCACCTGCCCAGGGTCCTCAGGAGTAGACGGCAGAGCTGGACCGCATGGCACCCAGATGGAAGTAGCTTGGGCAGAGCACTGTGCCCACCCTTGGCACTCCTCTGTCCCCTCCCTACCTCTGCCAGCCCAGGCACCCTGGGCCCTGGCTCCCCTTTCAGGATGGCAATCAGGTCCTCTCCCTCCCTGCAGGGTGACTCTGGTGGGCCCCTGGTGTGCCAGAAGGACAGAGCCTGGTTCCTGGTAGGCATCGTGTCTGGGGGCAGTGGCACCTGCAACACCTCCATTCCTGGTGTGTATGCTCGCGTCACTGCACTCGTGTGCTGGGTTAAGAAGATCCTGGAGGAAAACAGCGAGTTTCGTTGCCACCCCTTCTGCAGGTGTCACCAATAAAGTCCTCTGTCCAGAAACACTGACTGCACGCGTCTCACTGTGTGACCCACGGGGACATGGGGCTAACTGTCCGTGTCACCAAGTGTGCCATTAGTTCCCTCACCAGGCCGTAGCTCTCCTCTCAGACAGCCAAGGTCCTTCTGTGTCCTCCCCACACAGAGTCTACACCCCACCTGCTGGAGCAGCTGCACCCCCAGAGCTCTCTGGGAGGCTGAGGCCCTGCCCAGCTCTGCAGTCAGCAGCCCTGAAGGGTCAGCAGCACTGGGACCACAGCAGCTTCCAGTCAAGGCTTCTGCCTCCTCCACAGGCTCCAGTCCCTTTCCCTGCCATCAGCCTCCCGCAGCCAGTGCCCTGGAACTCGCCTTCTCTTTCCATCCTGTCTGCTTCAGCCCCAGCCCTGCTCTCACTGCACGCAAACTCAGGAGCAAGCCCGGCCACCTTCAATCCAGCTCCAATGTCCCCGCAGCTCCCTACCCTCCTTAGCCTCGGTGTTTCCTGCGATGGAGGAGATGGCTCTAGAGGCCTGAGCACCCTCAGGTCTGTCCCTGGCCAGGCGTGGGTGGAGCTGGCTGTCTCTCTTTGCTGAGGTCAGCCGGCCTTGGTGTTCAGAGCCTGCACCCATCAATCCTTTGAGGGACTGCAAATGGGGGCATCTCAATTTTGACATCTTTCTCCTTATTACCTCAGATATTCCATAGAGCTGCCTCCCCTGCTTTACCATTTAAATACCCAGGGGTACAGTTCATACAGAACAGTGATGGTGAACCTTTTAGAGCCTTCAATGATACAAACAGCCTGCTATGGCACATGTGCCATACGTTCCCCACCACTGATACAGAACAGGCAATTTTAAAGCAGTTTTCTTTCTATATCCAATATTTAAGAGAACGCTTTTGTTTACTTTCATCCTTCAGCAGTGCGCCATTAAGTTTTCTTTTTATGTTTTAGAATCATTATGATCTTGTGGATTTAGACAAATTTGAGGGTTTTGATCCATTGTATTGTTATCCTTACTGACTCCCACATGTACCTGCCTTCAATCACAGGGAGCTTCTCCGGTGGACTCTCACGATGTGTCAGTGTGGCCCCCGTGGCCCTTCGTCTCTTCCTTCCTCTCCATGACCACAGGCCCCAAGCTTCCATCTGAGGTCTTGTCTGCATCTCTGCCTTTTATAGTATGGTGAAAACTTTGTGGAGAAAATTCTCCCATTATTTATGATTGTCTGAAAATATCATCATTCACATATATTTTTGTGGTCTTGGGCCTCACAAATGTTGGGCAAGCTCTCTACCAGTGAGCTTCTTCCCCCGTCCATAATTTTCTTTTTCATTTTGAGTCAGAGTCGCCCAACATTGCCCAGGCTGGCTTCAAATTTTTGATCTTCCTTGCAAGTAGCTGGGATTAATTTTCAAAATGTCCTCCATAATTTTTTTAGGGTATTTGTGCCATAGTATGTATAGATGTACGTATGTACTTATGTGTTTGGACTTTGAAGATATTTCATTGTCTTCAACCTTCCATCATTTCCTTGAGAGCTCAGTGTTCAGAATTTTTGTTGCTTTAAAAAGGGGTTTTACAGTTTTTCTTTGGGTGTTTTTAATTCTGTTATCTTCCCTTTTCAGCAATCATCTTGTTCTAGCTAGAATTCCTAGAGATTCTTGAAACTGTGAGTCAAAAAACAGGTTTTTGGGGGGTTCTTTTTCTTTATTTTTTATTCATTTACCCTTTTTTTGGTGTAACCTGTTTTGGAAAATCTCAGCTATCATCTTCCAAATATTGCTTATGCCCTAATTTCTTCTGATTTAAGGAACTCTAGTCATATATATTGTAACTGGTGAAACCAGGGCCACCCAAAAATATCCCAGCCCCATAAAGAAAAACAGATTCTGCACATGCTATTACATCATGGATCTGGAGGTGGGGTGGGAAGATTTTCCTGGATTATATGAGTGGATCCTAAACCCAATTCCAGCTGTCCTTGTATGAGAGTCAGAGAGCAATTGTACACACAGGCAAGAGAGAGATGTGAAGATGGAGATGCTGATCAGCTTGATATAACCACAGGCAAAGGACGCCAGTAGTCAGCAGCAACTGGGAGAGACAAGGGATGGCTTTTCTGCTAGGACCTCTGGAGGGTGTGGCTCTGCTGATACCTTCACCAAAGCATAGTGGCACTTGGGGTGGACTTCCAGCCTCCAGAACTGTAATAGAATAAGTGTTTGCTATTTGAAACCTCTAGGTTGGAGGCAATATGTTGGAGTAATCTCAGGTAACTAACAGACATTTGTTAGCCTCCTTTCTATGCCTCAATGACTTTTATGTTCTTTGGTGTACTTTCCATTCTTTTGTTTCTTTGTGCTTCCTGTGGGATTTTTTTCTACTTTACTTTGTCTTCAGCTATTAAACTCATTGATCACATTATTAATGTTAGGTATTACAGGTTTATTTTAGAATTTCTTTTCAAATCTTCTTTAAAATTCCTTTTCCCTTCTCTGCTGTACTCTCAACCTTACCATTCATTTCCTTACACACAGTAAGTAGTCATTCTGAAGTCAGTTTCTCATATTTCCACTGTCTACATGTCCTGTGAATCTTTTTCCTTATTATTTCCCTTGGAGTTTTCATATGTTGTACTGTTTCTTCATGTCTAGCCATTTTTTATTGAGTTCTTCGCAGTATACGATGAAATTTCTAGAGATAATTTAAGATTCCATAGGATTATATCTCCTTTCCAGAGGATCTTCTTTTTTTTTTTTTTTGGTACCAGAGATCGAACTCAGGACCTTGAGCTTGTGAGGCAGGCGGCGGAACCACTGAGCTAAATCCCTGGCCAGAGGACCTTCTTTTGCTTTAGGGCACTAGCAATTTTGAATGTCCTATACCTTATCAAGAGTAGAGGGGGTCCAAAATAAGGCTTTTGTCCTCGTTCAAGGTTTCAGTCCTTCACCACTGACTATGATTTTTCTTACAATGTCTTTTATTATGTTAAGTAAGTTCTCTCCTTTTACTACTTTTCTGAGTGTTTTTATCATGAAATGTTGGATTTTTTCCAGTGCTCTTTTCTGCACCATTTGAGGCAATTATGCAGTTTTTTTTCCTTTATTCTATTAATGTGGTCTATGACACTGATTGATTTTCCATATGGAATCATCCTTGCATGCCTAGGACAAACCCCACTTGGTCATGTTGTGTAATCCTTTTAATATGCTATTCCATTTGGTTTGCTAGTATTTTATTGAAGTTTTTGGACCTATATTTATGACAAATTCTGACCTGTAATTTTCCTTTATTGTGATGTTTTATTAGGTTTAGTTGATATCCTGATGGGTAAAGCTGTTGTTGCTAGTTTCTTTGTGTTTATTTATTTGTGATTTTTTTCCAGTGTTGGGAATTGAAGCCAGGATCATTTGTCTTTTTTTTTTTTTTAACAATTTGATTTGATGATCAGCTCATTAATTTTCAACCTTTCTTTCATCCTAATATTTTAGGCTGCAAATTTCCCTCCAAGCACTGCTCTCACTGTATCCTGTCAGTTTCGATATACACTTTGTAGTAATTTATATTTCAATTCATATTTTTCATTTTTATTTGTGTGTGTGTGTGTGTGTGTGTGTGTGTGTGTGTGTGTGTGTGTGTTATTGATAAATGAACCCAGGGCCTTCGCTGAGCTATTTCCCTGGCCCTTGTTTTTTTTTTTTTTTTTGAGGCAGAGGATTACTAAGTCACTATATTGTCCAGGCTGGCTTTATACTCATGCTCCTCATGCTCCTCCTACCTTAGCCTCCCTGTTATAGGCAATGCGTGTATGTCTCACCAATCCTAGTTTGTTTTCATTAAAAAAAATTTTTTTTAATTGTGATAAAATATATACTGTGATATCTCAGTTCATGAACTTAATTTCTTCCATGATTCTGGAAATGGACACGTTTCCTGTGCAAAAAAGATGGCCACAGGCCTGTTCATGACCTGATGCAGGGATTGCAAACAAAAACATAATTTTGGAACTGGAGATTTAGCTCAGTGGTGCCACACCTGCCTTGTAAGCACAAGGCCCTGAGTTTGATCCCTGGTACTACAAAACAACAACAAAAAAACCAAAACAACCCCATAATTTTGCCAAATGCTTCCGTTAGGGAAGCAAATTGTTTCCAAACAAGTCTTCATGAACCAAGTTACCACTGTATAATATACAGTTTACTGTCTTGCTTACCCATCTCACATTGAACCCATAGCCACCAGCTTGCTAGGCAAGTACATCCACCGCAGTGTGCTCTCAGAGGAAGCAAAGAACTTGTGCTTGCCCTATGAGATGGTGCACGCCTGTAATCACAGCACTTGCAAGGCTGACTAGGCATGATTACCTCCATTTTGAGGCCAGCCTGGGCTATAGTGTATACTAAGCCTGAACTACAAAGCAAAACTATGTCTCAAAAAGTGTAGACAACTATTTTCCTACAAATGAATGCAAGGTTTAATTTATATAGAAATGGAGTAGAAAGCACAAACCTAATCACTTTTTCACTTACTAGTAAAGCTGACCTAGTCAGGCTCTCCCTAGTATGAAAAAGGCAGTACTGGGACATGGCTGTCACCTAGAGACCAATATGAGAACTGCAGAGCTAGCTGTGCTTTGCTTCCTCCTAACCCAGCCTGTTCCCTGGAGCATTTGTGGAGCCCTGGTGCTGAGAGTGAGCTGCAGAAAGCAAGGGACAAGGTTGGACTTGAGTCACTGCCTGGATGGGACCATTCATTTATGGTGGCAGGACACAGACAACCCAGGTACAAGGTAGGGGTGAGAGTGTCAGAGCTCCCACCATCCATGAACCACAGTGGTGTTCTGAAGGAAGACAACTGATTTGCAGGTTCTCTATAGCAGGGATTTGAGAAATATGGGAGGAGAGAGAACCTGTAAGGGTGGTGATGGAGGTGGGGTGGAGTTCAGTGGTACAGAGCTTGTTTAGCACGCCAGGGGTCCTGGTTCAGTCCCCAGCTGGGGGTT